ATTTCTGTCCGAGTTCTTGTCTTTACCCCACTTTGCCTTCCTCGGTTTGTCTTTAGGCTCTTGAATACAGAGCAATCAATGTGCCTGCAGCATTTGTTATCAGAATTGCCATCTCTTCAAGCACATGAGAAATTTTGAAGTTTTGATAATTTGTGCTGGGTGGGGTAGTCTTAAACTGCAGTATGCCCATGTGCAGTTGGAAAATTGAAAAAAGATGCCACTTATCCCACCAATTAAGAGGCAAGGAGTATCACCGTGTGAAATTGACTGTTTGACTTCAAATTCATTTTGGACTCTAAATGTTATATTTAATTTTTGTTTTAATGTGATATTTGGTATTCTAAAATTATTGTGTTTTCAAATTTGCATTTTACCATTCTTTCTCATGTTAAATTACTATTTGTTCATTTAATTATTGAGGGGCAGAGTGTTTATGCCCAAGGACATTTTAATCACTTTTACAAACAACATGTAATTAATTAATTATCGGGGTTCTTTATGTCCATGCCATCAAAGTATTTCATTAATTGTTCACTGTATCATTTTTACTCATTGTCAACACCTGCCATTTTTAACTCATTGTCCATTTTCCCATAAATACCATTGTCAAATTTTACTTATCAGTTCGGAGGCCGGGTGTCCTACCGGCCACACGCCCGACTCGTTCCCCCATCATGCTGTAACTATTTCTGCTTTTAACAGTTTGGAGGCTATGGCCATATCCAACTGGTCATTGTTATTATTGTTAATTGTTGTTCCATGTAAGTCATTTCCATCGTTGGGACTTTATAATAAATTCGGAAACCATACTTATTCCTCGTTACTTTGGACTTTTAATATGTGTCATCGGGAAGAGTCCTTGGAATACGGCTCTACTACTTCCGGCCAACGACGCCACTCACTTCCCTTGCCAACATTCCCTCTTGCCCGATCGACGACACATCTTTTAGACCCAAACTACGTGGTAATATTTGGTGGAGAATCCTAAGGGTAACATCAACGCCCGGGGCTGCTGCATATATTTTGCAGTAGTCAGATCCCGAACCTTTTCAGCTAGCGAGTTACCCCGTGACATATTCGACCAACCAGTTCAACATGCTCAACGATGGAAGCAACTTCGCTGCAACAGCCATGGACAACTGGACTTGATTTACCATACCTAATGCCTGAATACAAACCAGATTAATTTTCGTGACAGAATTCCATGACTATTCCACTTTTTACCATCAAAGCATTTCTACGGAAAATCGAGAACTTGTTTCAAACTTTATGTGCAGTGATTTTTCTTTCAAAACACGAGGACGTGTTTTTTCCGGAGCGGTGGGAAACTATCACCGTGTGAAATTGACTGTTTGACTTCAAATTCATTTTGGACTCTAAATGTTATATTTAATTTTTGTTTTAATGTGATATTTGGTATTCTAAAATTATTGTGTTTTCAAATTTGCATTTTACCATTCTTTCTCATGTTAAATTACTATTTGTTCATTTAATTATTGAGTGATACTTATCGGACACCAAAGGGGCAGAGTGTTTATGCCCAAGGACATTTTAATCACTTTTACAAACAACATGTAATTAATTAATTATCGGGGTTCTTTATGTCCATGCCATCAAAGTATTTCATTAATTGTTCACTGTATCATTTTTACTCATTGTCAACACCTGCCATTTTTAACTCATTGTCCATTTTCCCATAAATACCATTGTCAAATTTTACTTATCAGTTCGGAGGCCAGGTGTACTAACGGCCACACGTCCGACTCGTTCCCCTACCATCATGTTTTAACTATTTTAACATTTAACAGTTTGGAGGCTACGCCATATCCAGCTGGTTACTGTTTATTGTTGTATCATGTAGCCATTTCCATCGTTGGGACTTATTGTTAATAAATTCGGAAACTATACTTATTCCTCGTCATTTGGACTTTTATATGTGTCAACGGGAAGAGTCCTTGGAATACGGCTCTTCTTGGCCAACGACGCCACTCACTTCCCCTGCCAACATTCCCTCTTGCCCGATCAACGACACATCTTCTAGACCCAAACTACGCGGTCATATTTTATAACCACGTAGTTTGGGTCTAAAAGATGTGTAGTTGATCGGGCAAGAGGGAATGTTGGCAGGGGAAGTGAGTGGCGTCGTTGGCCGGAAGTAGTAGAGCCGTATTCCAAGGACTCTTCCCGATAACACATATAAAGGTCCAAAGTAACGAGTAATCTGGTTTCCGAGTTTATTAATAAGTGCATATAATTAAAATGATGGACAACAATTTTAAGAATCAAGAAATACAAACGGGGAACACAGACGGAAGTGGCCAGTAATGCGTCGGGCCTCCGAACTGACAAATACAATTTAGATACTGGTATATAAAAGAATTCTTTGGAACAATTAGCAAATTGAGTGACAAAATGACATGTGTTGAGTGAATTATACAATCTGTGAAAAGTTTTGATAAGATGAACATGAAAGAAAGATTAATGGAATAATTACATGTTTGTTTTTATAAGGCATTAGAGATTAATGACGGTTAACACTCTGTCTCTTTGTAGTTCTCAACAATTGTCACTATGTAATTAAGTAAAAATTGGGTGTTTCATAGTCCAACAGTAAATAAAGATTTAAAAATGAAAAAATAAGTTCAATGAAAATGATAGATGAAAAATATTAAAGTTCAAAATAAAAGTCCAAAAGATGTGTTGTAAAATGGGTCAATTTTGCACGGTGATAGTTTCCCTCCGCTCCGGGAAAAACACGTCCTCGTGTTTGGAATGGACTCGGGTCACCGGTAGTAACGTCGGTCCCTGTTCTGGTTGCGTCTGTGGTGTCTGCTGCAATTCGGATAGAGTTCATTGCGTAAGTCATCGATAACTTCTTCACGCTGTCTTATGACATGTTCTAAATCACAAGTTTGCTGTCGTAGGTCTTCAATTTCTTCTTTTTGGTGTTTTATTTTTCGGACATGTCGATGATTAGCATCACGTAAGTCGTCTATAACCTCGCAATGATTGGACCTGGCATATTCCAAAGCAGAATTTCGAGAACTTAAAGCAGTATTTTCTTCTTTTTGTTCTTGATTTATTTTCACTAGGTGAATATTTTCACGAGTTAAGTCTTGTATCCGTTCCGAGGCCATTTTGATAATTTGATCGGATCCGTTCAGTTGACTCTGCAGGTCTTCGACTTGGTGTTTCAAACGATTTTCTTGGGTATTTGTTTTCAGTTTAGATTGAAGTTCTGAGATTTTCTGTTGGGATGTTTCTTGTAGGACGGAATTTTGATTTTTGGTCAACTTTAATTCACTTTCTGTTTTCCTAAGTTTTGAAATTAATTCTAGCAGTTGATTTCGGGAGTCTTTTACAGTTTGTTTGGTTTTGGTAAGCTCGTGTTTCAAAACAGATGAAAAGTCCATAAAATTACGCAGTGCCGAATTTCTAATGTTGTAAAATGGAAGTTCCTTAAGAAGCTGTTTTTGTCCGAAGTATTCTTGAATTCTGTGTCGGTCACGAACCTGATGCGACTTTGACTTCTGAGAGCTGTGAAAGTTGCAGTCCTTGGCGAAGTGTCCAGGTCTGTGACATCTAAAGCACTTAGTGAAACGGTGTGGATGTTTTTCACTATTCGTTGTGGGGAAAGTCCGTGACGTCCAAGATGGTCGAAGTTGGAAGTTGTCCATCATCATGCTGAGAAGTCCACATAACGTAGAGAAACTCGCTTGTTTTAGGTACACGGGATCAAACTACTGCAAAATATATGCAGCAGTCCCGGGCGTTGATTTACCCGGATTCTCCACCAATTATAACCACGTAGTTTGGGTCTAAAAGATGTGTAGTTGATCGGGCAAGAGGGAATGTTGGCAGGGGAAGTGAGTGGCGTCGTTGGCCGGAAGTAGTAGAGCCGTATTCCAAGGACTCTTCCCGATAACACATATAAAGGTCCAAAGTATAACGAGTAATCTGGTTTCCGAGTTTATTAATAAGTGCATATAATTAAAATGATGGACAACAATTTTAAGAATCAAGAAATACAAACGGGGAACACAGACGGAAGTGGCCAGTAATGCGTCGGGCCTCCGAACTGACAAATACAATTTAGATACTGGTATATAAAAGAATTCTTTGGAACAATTAGCAAATTGAGTGACAAAATGACATGTGTTGAGTGAATTATACAATCTGTGAAAAGTTTTGATAAGATGAACATGAAAGAAAGATTAATGGAATAATTACATGTTTGTTTTTATAAGGCATTAGAGATTAATGACGGTTAACACTCTGTCTCTTTGTAGTTCTCAACAATTGTCACTATGTAATTAAGTAAAAATTGGGTGTTTCATAGTCCAACAGTAAATAAAGATTTAAAAATGAAAAAATAAGTTCAATGAAAATGATAGATGAAAAATATTAAAGTTCAAAATAAAAGTCCAAAAGATGTGTTGTAAAATGGGTCAATTTTGCACGGTGATAGGAGCATGTGTTGTAATAAAAATATTTGCAGAAGTGATGACGCCCTGCACTTTGCTTGAGGTGGGAGGGACAACATTAGTGTGTACAAAATAGTGGTCAGTGTTTGTACACGACTATTGGCTTAAATTTTGGCCTGAATTTAGCTGATAAGTGGGTGGGGTCCTATGTTTGTCCTGTAAAGGCCGCTTGTTTTATATCCAAAGGCTTAGCAAACATTGGGTTAGGATATCTAGCTCTGTTAAAGTGCAAAATAAATTTCCTGTGTATGTGTAGGTCAACGGAAGAATAATGTTGCATTTTTTATCATGTTCATTAGAAATTCATCGAATTTAAATTTAAAAGATGCAAAGATTTTTACAAATTTATTCCTGTAAGAAAGTTTTGTTTTCTAAAGCTTAAAATAACTGAAAAATGCATGGAAAATGGACAAATTATAAATTGTCTGAATCAGGAATATGAATAAAGAATAGACACAAATGCAGTTTGTTAAGAAATTAAATGCTGTTTGACCACCCTGTTTGTGCAAAAGATCACCTTATCTCTTTGCTTAGCATACATTTACTCTGGCACTCTAGGTAGAAACAAGAAATTGTTGACCTTTGGCCTGGATTGATAAATGTTTGGTATTGGTCCTTAGCGAGATCAAGGTAGAAACACTTCAATCTGGCCATATTTATTTGAAATGTTCTTTGATGTCAAACACAGTTGGATCTTAATTTGAAACTTGAATAAAACCCGAATTTCATTAGATGGGATATATTATACAATGTTATCAATGAGTTGCGGCATGTAATTTTCTGGTTAGGCCATCAGGAACTTCTCACGGATTTTTCTGTCAGACCGCGGGGTTTTGACATGCGGAGACATACTGTGTAGATGCGTTTTCTGTGACTTGTTTTTTGCTCCACAGATTAGTTTTTTAAGTGGTGTTATTTGCCAAGGATATTTGAACTCTTATGTTAGGTCACAGGTAAAGGGAAAAAAAATCCTGAATCAATAAGTAAACTCTGTGATTGTTAGAAGGCTGTATACAGGTATTGTGGAGAGGAGAAAGGGGAGCATTTACTCGCGGTGACAGAGTGAGAGAGGAGGTGTTCCTCTCCAAAACTATGTGGAGCTTCAGATCGCTCCAGTCAGAGGGACAGTAAACTGTGACAAGATTCTGCTTTGTATTAAAGATTTCTGTCAAGTCATTCACAATAATGGAGCTAACTAGAATGGCCGCTATCCGACTTTTGTCCGATTGTGTTCATCAGAAACTAACTTGTGCAGAAAAGGAACAAGCGACAAAAGTTGGGGCTAACAAGGCCGTGCAGAAAACGTGCCTCAAATCATGTATTGGTAAAAAATCAATGGAAATTAAAGCTCTTGGTAAGAGTTTCCTAGCCAGAATTTATTTTACTTATTTTTTTGTTTAAAAAAAAAATTGAGAAAAATACAGAAAAATTTTTATTTTACTTTTATTTTATTTTATACAGAAAAAATATTTATGAACTAAATAATTAAGGTAATTTTGAATTTTTAAACAATCGTGCCTTTAGGCATTTTTATCTGGAAAGTGTATTCACTAAGCAAATTTTAATAATTTTTATATGTAGTTTAGTAATTTTTACATGATTTATTAAATTATTTTGTCCATGTAAATATCAGACAAATTATTACATGCGAGCCAATATCCTGTGGTACCAGTTGGTGCACTGCTTTGAATCCATTACTAGGAAATTAATCCCTTTAAAACCAGATTAATGACAACTCTATTGATTTATAAAGCTTTATAAAAGCAAGTGATCAAGAGTTTATTAGGTTCAATTGAATATTCTAAATATTTTCGGGAAATATCAAAATATGAATCAGATCAAAATGAAACAAGTTTCTGTCAATTTGTCAGGTCAAGAGTTGATTAAAGCCATTTATATGCATTTTGAAGTGTATCTATTCAATGTTTCTATATACATGTATATTAATTAATTGTTTTAACATTAGATTTGCTTTTTAAAAAAAAAAAACACTTCAACAATCCAAAAAATTTTGACTGCATTTTAATGAAGAATGCACAGCATATTTGAGTGACAGGAGCGAGCGACATCAAATTGGGAATGAAAGTGGGGTCAGCCTAACATAAAGTCGTCCCAAAGTATGAAATCCCCAGCCGAGAGCAAATTCATTCCAAAATCTCCGGCTCCTTAGAAATCGTTACAAAGATTGTCAACATATTAGATATGATAGCCAGAGAACTGATACACTGTATCAATGCAAGTGGGGCCCCAATTTTGACGGATTACGTCAATCCAGCAAAATGAGGAATTATTCTAACGTTTGTATATCATATCTGACAGCATTTGATTGGGACTTGTAAATAGAGAGTTTCACAGTTATGTATCGCAGATATCTTGGTTTTGGGTTCTGCTGACCAAATTTTCTTTAATCAGGTTTCAATCGTATCTTGTATACCTGGGTATTATGTGCATTTAATCGACATAGCAGGATCACCACATAAATATAATTCGGTTATTTATTGGACCAAATATTTCTTGTTTTTATGAATCGTCAAGAGATGAATGCAGTTGCACTTTAATAATTTCTGAAATTCCTGATCAAGGATAAAAATTAGACTAATGTATATATTTACTTTTGTAGAGATTATTAATTAAACACCCCCCTCCCCAACATAAAAGATAAATAAGCATTGGGTAGGTTTATAATGGTGAGAAATTTGGAGACAAATGCTTTGATGATCTTGATATCAAGGGGCGTGCTAATGACATAATGTTGTTAATTAAATGTTGGAATCTTTTAATTAATTTTTCCTCTACTCTTTGTAGAAATAGAAGCAGTTGAAGCATGCAGGTGGTTGAAGGAGGCAGGGTTTCCACAGTATGCTCAGATGTATGATGGTAGGTACAGTGTTTAAATAATAAATGTTTGATTTATATAGAATAGATTATAAACAAAAAAAAATTGATATCTTAAAAATTGGCCATTGAAAGATTTTTAATCTTGAACCATCCTTGTCCAACTCTGCTTGGGGGTATTTTACTAAATCTAAGTAAACACAATTAAATTAAAGTTAGCTTTAGGAATTTCCTGTTCAGATTAACTTTTAAAGCCTGGCCCTGACCCTGGGGTCACATTTCCTGTGTGGACATTCAAGATAATAGCTGTACCATAATTATTGAATCTTTCCCCTCAGAATGATATTAAACCTACTTGTTATCTATAAAATGCAGCATGCTTATAAATATTTTTCTAAAAATATTTCATGTTTTTAACATTTTAACTTTTTAACAAGAATTTGTAATGTTTGATTCTTATTTTAACTTTAATAAGTTAAATTTATACAGATTTGTAACTTGTAGAAAATAATTATAAGATGAGCTAAATGTGCATTTTGGAAGCATAAGTAGTTATATACATGTATGTTGAGGTAAGAAATATCATAAGAGAGAGCATGCCAGTTTATGAACACCTTCATTGTTCACATTCTGATGTGAACATCTTCCTTGTTCACAGATTAAGTTGTCCATCTGCTGTTAGTTCTCCTTAGTAACTTTATATCAAAGACAGGTAGGGATTATAGCACATTAAGCCTCCCTCCCTACACAAGTATCAGTGTTAGATTCAGGGGCTCTCCAGGTCTTCTGAATGTTTAACTTCATGACAGAACACCCAGTACCTGGAGAATTCTATCACACCCCCTCCAACACTTTGACATCACAGCAGTGGGTGTTATATACTGAACACACAACCTGTTAAAGTGTGATAAAATTATGTCATCCAAGCAAAAAAAATTAGGATTAGAAATAATTCCTGTGTAATTATGATTTCTAAGTCCTGACTGTGTTTTTGTAGACTGCCAGTTTCCTATAGATATTTCAAGTGTGGAGAAAGATCATGATTTTTTGGACAGAGATTCGATGCAGCCACTGGTCAGGTAAGTCATGAGTTGTCTTCCCTTCCCACCAAAAATGTACTGCTAGATGGCAGGAGAATCTACCCCTTTCTCTCTTTTGAAGATATGTCTAATCTAAGTACAAAAACTTACAGACTTGAGGACAATACCATTTAGTTTTTACATTTTTTCAATACAACAATATATTTTCCCCTCACATGGTTGGTTTATTGATGATTTTATAAGCAATATGACAATGATTGGGATAGCTTAATCCTCTTTGTTTTGTTCATCGTGGATTCATTTGTTTCCGAGTCTCGATCAGTTCTTTGGAGGATGTTTACAGTTTGTCAATAGGTTTGACGCAGTCCTTGTTTTGGTGACAAGCCAACAAGTAAACAGTTAATCTCTCTCACAACATAGGTGTCCTATAGATCTATCCCTTTGTCACACCTGTGTTGATTGGACAGAATAAATATTTCAGGTCAAGTCTTTCCTCAAGAGCTTTTAATATTTCCATATTTTTATCGCTGTGTTTAGTTCATTTGGTATACTCTGAAGAGAGTGTTTGTTGGTTTGTGTAACTTGCTATTAAATTAAGTTCATGGCCATACATCAAAATTACCTTGCGACAAATTGTATCGTCATATAGGTGCGAGGTTTTGATATTAACATTTTTTTCTATAGCTTGATCTTTTAGAAGTGACAGTTCAGAGAGACATTTATGACAGCCTCGGAAAGTTTTACTTTGACAGTCATATTTCGCAAATGAATTTTTTTCTTTTAAAAATTGACATGCAAGAAGAAAAGGCCTCATCAAATGTAAATAATTGTCCGCAGTGAAATCGATCTACAGATTCACTTATCCTTATAAAATAGCTCAGTAGCTTTCCTTAATTGATTTTGTTCAATTAATTGATAAGATCAACCTGTCTACTTTACAAACCATAAAGGTTATATAGATATTAAAGTACAATATCAGGTCAAATAATTTAGAATTATACCTAGATATACCAAATCAGATATAAATATGATAAGCCCCTCTTTTTGACCTAACACCAGATCGGCACCAAGGTATTATAGGCATCGACAGACTGCAGGGCCTGTTACAATCACGTATTTAGTGTTTATGAAATCTTATCGGTCTTTAGTTCTTCTGTTTCACCAATAGGCGATTAATTTCCACACGAATAGCCCCTTCTTTACATGTAGATTCTAATTGCATGCCTCTGCATACAGTGTACTTGGTAGACATACATGGAGCGCTGCTTTGCTTGGTACAGCTCGGGAACCTCGGATAATTGCATTACGTTTCTTTATTGTGTGACAAACAAATTTTTTTGTGTAGATGCTGGGCCAAGTCGCTGAGTGCGAGCTTTTAGGGATTTTAATATATGCAGTTTCTTCTGCTATAATTATAGGATGTGATTGAAGGCACTGACAATCAACAGTAAATAACTATATTGACAGAGCCCCAATTGAAATCTTAATTCAAATTAAAATCTGTCTTCGAGGCCAGATTCAAAAAGAATTTCATGTACCTTTAGATCATTTTAAATTGCTAGAAGAAAAATGGAAGATAAGAATGCATAATTCATGAGCTTCATTCATACTTTGACAACACCTACATCTACATATTCCATAAAAAATGTGATTTATGTAAGCAGTAATAAATAGCTAGAGAGAAGAGAAAAAAATCTGAGGTCAATGATCTAACCCAGCACTTGGTCACCATACGTAGAAGTCACATCAACAGGTTAGACCTCTCAGTGACAGCGGACTATTGGTAGGTGGGAGAAATGATGTAATGGACTTGTTCTTACTTATATCCAACACTGCTGTAATTGAGAGGTTATTGAAAGGTTTATATATATTAGCTTGCTTTTTGGCCTTTGGATACTTTGTTTGAGCGAGCTGGTTCCAAGAGGTGATCCTACAGTCTTTTTGACCATATTTTAAAAAGTTTGCCGAGCTTTTCTACCACTCTGGTCACAGATGTTCTTTGTACTGAATGTAGGATACAAGATGTTGCATTCAGGGGTGTGGACTTGTCTCTACTTTTACATATTGGAGTCTGCTATTTTCTCCTTGATATTGGAGTTGTATGAAGTTTTTATGTGAAAACACGAATTTACAGTGATTAAAACGCAGATGTGTTATATTGCATTGTAAAGATGAAGGAGTATTCATTTAGTGGGTGAGTTCATTGTTGAAGCAACAAAGAGAATCATTTTAAATTTACTGATTAATAAAAATTACACTGGAACTTCATGTAGTAGAACTTTTAGGCTTATTTCTTTTTGTAAAAATCTTGATGGAGGACTTGAAACTTTTATTGTTGGAATCAAATCTGTTACTTGCTTTTGTTGATCAAAAGTTCGCATTTAGTCCTTGTCATTACAAATTAACATTTGAGAAAATTGGCAGTTGTTTGTGAAAGTAGACTGAGAAAGTTGAAAAGTTTAAAGTGTACAGATTGATTGAATGTATGGAGAACATCAAAGGTTTAACACTCAGCAGATTTATTGACTAGTAGATGGAGCAAATTGCGCTTCAAAAGTTTATGCATGGAATCGATTTTCTGTTTAAATGGGCAAAAAATGACCTAAGGCAGGGTTTATTTTCTGATATGCATACTGTATATTGACAGCTGGTTTCATATTTTAATAACAAATAGAGATTTATTAAAATAATATAAAGTAACAATAGGATTGTGAAATTCAAAGAGAAACAGAAAAACAATCTAAATCTGTGTGCAGTTGTGTAAATATTCAATTAAATTGGTATTAAATCAGCCTTAATCTAGTTGACTGACCTGTTGTGTAATTCTACAAGAAATATATAGGAGAGAAGACGTGATAAATTGAGACTGCGCGGACAATCACCCTGTACTCTGCAGTGAATTCTGCTGATTCTGTCTATATATAAGTCCTAAGCCATCAGCAGCAGGTGTGAGGGGTGGTCAATGGCTTCTACATAGGATATCACACCCAGAGTATTGGATACTTTTGTATAGCAGATTGTAAGCTGATATCAATATTAAAAATAGAATTGGATCTGCAAAAGGGAAAAAAAAACATACCAATTTCTTCCTCATAAGAATTTCCTTGAGGAAGATTTACCATTGTACAGGGAGGTACCAGATACATAAATTATATATAACCCCAGCAGAGAGACCCCCTTGTATAATTGGTAAATCTATTTCCCTGAACACCCATTAAAATACTATTAGCAGGGTCTATATTAGGGTCTAACAATCAATTCTGTAGTTCTGGTACAGGCTGTTTACCAAGTCCAGTGTGATTTATAGCAATCTCTTATATACAAAAACTGCCACTTATTAAACAGATAATTAATTATCCTGTGTTAATGTGCTTGTATCAAACAGTTAGTCTGTGGAAATAATTCACTTAGGTATGTTGTAATGGTTCAGTTAGTGGTGTATGGATGTTTCTTGGGGCCTTGTATCTAATGTCTTGTAATATCTTCAGTACACTAGTTAGGAAGTGATGTATTGTACAAGATTATCATTCAGGCCCCTGGGGTAAGGTCAGCTCCACTTAGCCAGCCAAGCTCATTATGAAGTGTTGATAAGCCTGCAATCACAGCTATCATTTGAAACATCACAATTAGCCAGTCACCTGTCACAGTCATTAATTGACCAATCAGGGACTGCCTCAAACTTCAGGGGTTCACTTCAGATAAAGAAGTCTTACTAGAGTGTGTTTGAATAGTCTCTCATTTACCCCTGTCATAGATTCACAGCTTGTACTCCCCACAATTATAGGGAGTAAAACATGAAATGGCACTCCATACATTAAAAGTAGTCAGTCTACATGTGGATCAGATATTATTTTTGATACATGGACATTGCTTGATTTCATCATAGAAAAAAAATTAGATATGCTTGTTGATAAAATAAGATCCAAACTACAGAGGTAATTCAAGGAACTATTTTGTTAATCATGTGTATGTAATACAGTTTCCCTTATATATTAATTATTTTGAAGCAATTTTTTACTTCTCTCTTTCTGAATTTTCATATATGCAATGTTTTATACTTTACTCTCTCAGTATGACACCATAAGTAGAGACTATTTTTATAAAACAAAACTTTATAATTCAATTTAAAAAAATGATGTATAGAAACAGCTTTAAGGAAATACCATGCAGAAATGAATCATATGTAAAAATTGTACTTGAGTGCTACACACACACATTGTATTATGTACTTTACATGTAATTTCCAGCAGTACATTATATCCACACTTAGGAAATAAGAATCGTAGGCCGTAAGAATGTTGCTGGTGACGGTTTTTGAGGAAATTTATGTACTGATTCACGTCTTTGTGTTTATTTACAGGAGGCTCAGTACCCTCAACAAATGTGCTGTCATGAGGATAGGGACCCCCACCAAAAAACTGGTAAGTACAATTCTCTAGTGACCTTCAGATCAGGGACAACAGATAAAGACTAGGTACTTAATAACGGGGACAAGTTCTTAAAGACATAAGCAGATTTTCTGTTTTATTATTAATATTTAATAAATCTGTTTATTTTGATAATGTGTCTCCATTGCAGATTTTCTGGCATGGATATATGTCATTCATATTTAAGAAATTTAATGGGCCTATTTTTATGTTTACGCTTCACCAAATTATTTACATTGAAGCATGTTTTCATGAGCCTTTATCATAACAAAGGAGGATTCCCATTCTGTTATAAAATGTGAAGGATAAGGGTAAATCAGGTGTGTTTGGAAGTTTTTAATTCCTATCCCAGGTTGTAATCATGTTATTACATTGTCTGTGGATCCCATCTAGAAAATGCGTTTTTATTTACTCAGTTAAATCTACCATACTAAGACTTGTCAGCCATACAAAATAAGCCTGAAAATATGAATGTGGATAATCATCTTGAGCAAGATATTAAAATGTATGAAGAGGGATAGTGCTGGCTGCGCTCGAATGAGCCGGTAATGAGGTGGGACAATATAAATTCACAAGTGACCTACATTGTATTATTAGACCTTAACCAGAGCAGAGGGGCACCTGTCATACAAAGTGTCCAGTGCTTAGAACTTCACAATAAGAAATGGGAACAATTAATATAGCTAAGGAGTCTACATATAAATAGTCTCCAGTAGTTATTTTAGTCAGGAACAGTCAATTTTTAGACTAAAGAGGAATAGTGTGATCGTGCATGTGACAGACAGACATGTGTGAGCCAGCAGGGATCATTGTAGATAATTAACTACTGTGTCGCGAGGTAACTTCATCACTTAGTCTGTATATAGCTGCCGTTTATCTGTTTGCCGTATAAGGAGACTTCTGAAGCTTGTTTTTCGTTTTTCCTTATAAAGCGGGTCTTTGTGAGGATTTTACTTAGATCAAGTGAGTTTTATTAAGTGAAAGGGCCTGGTTTATCCTTGAGAGTTAAAATACAGAAAGAAGTGTTTTGTGACATCAAATGTAGTGTTGTTAAGAAGAGATACAGTGAACTTCCTTGAAAGAATATTAATAAGGAGGACAGATCTTTACTGTTAGGACTAATTTACATGTAGGGGCTGGGAATTTCCTTCTATCTGCTGTTAAAGATGAAATGCATCTTTAATTTATGGATATTATATATGCATATATATGGTTTTATCTGCAAAATCAATATAACACAAGGCAGTTGACAACACGATTTCTAGGGCTATTAAATGCGTGTCTTGACATTATACAGGCAGGAAACCTCTGAATTTTGTAAATGTTCAAAGATAATGATGTAGAAGGCAAGCATTTATGTAATATGTTGAATAAAACTTAAAAACAAATGATGTAAAAGGGAGATTTTTTTCCTGCTTACGTAAGTTGATTTCTTCCCACAGGGTGATGAATCAGACGATGAAGATCAGTGTGCTCTCAGTGACAAGTGGAAGTATCAACACAACATCCGTCGCTGGTCCCGCAAGGATTTGAACAGCCCGTCTTCCGATGGGCAGCCTTTGTCCCCTACCGTTAAATCAAGTTCAAGTAACGATAGTCTACTAACAGATCAGAACTCGAGCAGTGAAACCGGAGACAGTCCAATTCTGGATTCCAAAATGCATCATGAAAAGAATATGGCTAATGATGACTATTTTGGGGTAAAGACTTCTACTCCTCAAGATCATCTCAATCCCTCCATGAGGGCTCTGAGTCCTAGACTCAGGAGGGCTGCAAGTGAAAGAATTAAAGGAGCCAAGAATTTCCTGAAAAGGATGGAAAGTTTTAAAAGTCGAAAAAATCGTCGAATTCAGAGGAATGGAAATGTGGAGATCAGTGGTCCTGTTGTGATGGATACTGATGGAATGCAGGCTAAGATTAGGCATCTGAACTGTAAAGAGCTGAGTCCTTCTAGTGAGGTACCCCCATCTCTTCCAACAGAAGAAAACAAAACCGATTCAACAGAACCCTGGTCAGACAGTGCTACCAATTACAATAAGGACCCCCAACAGACATCTGCTTCCCAGCAGGAGGCTAGTGACCCAAGTAGTGCTTTAATCTCTACCCTGAAGTTCCTAGAGGATGCGACTCAATCCTCTACAGATCTTCATACCTCAGTGAAAACCCCCTCCCCACTCTCAGGGCATGTACATCTCAGAAAACCCAACTTAGCTTGGAAAAATATAAGTGACTCGGAACTGTTTTCTACAGAGTCTTCTCCGTCAGTGTCGTTTAAGCTGCCTGATGACTACACCCCCGGGACATTTCCGCGAGTGTTACCCACGGGTTACGTACAGACAGAGAGGGGACACGGCATTAACACCAGGACGGGCAGTATTAGTCTGGGTAGTGATAGAACAGAGGACAGTGTATCTAGTGGTGCCTCCGTCGAAAGGCGGGGCTCTGCGGGGCCGCGATTAGACTCCTACAGAATCAGTGTCTACGACAATGTGGAGCCAGAGGAGGATTTAGAAAGTGCCCAACAAGAACTGGACTTGATTCTTAGTAAAGTGTTCGAGGATATTAACGTTCTCAATAAAGCCATCTATGGTGAAGATGCAGGTAAGAGTTAATCCCCTTTGATAGATATGTACTTTTTTCAATCTTTGATTTCTGCAGTGTTTTTAGTTTATTGAAAAATCATTTCTTCATTTTTTAGGGATAAATGACGTTTAAAAAAGTATAAGATGTAAGATAGACGCATGTGTCATTGATATTGTTAAAGTTAGGGTTGAATTAAATAAATTGTTTTATTTTGTTCTACAAATTTATACACATGTACTTTTAAATTTATAGCATGATTTGATTTTTGGTTTAGTTTATTTAACTTTTATTTATTTTTCTATAATTATTTTTAAGTTACAGAATATAACATTTTTTGTTTTTGTGTACTATTACTTTTGATTTGTTATTGTCGGAAGTGTACAGATTTGTCAACAAAATATTTTTTCGATACATGCAAGACTTCATTTCTAATCTTCATTATTCCTGGTTATAATCAGAGCAGTTAGAGCTCATTGTATGACTGACTGCATGAGTGCCGTCCCCTAGTTAGTTAGTTCAGACTGAAGTCGATATCTAATGACGTCCATTCAATTCCTCCTCTCTATACAAGTTGTTCAAGTCTGTATAAAGGCAAGCTATCTTGTCTAATAAAGTTAACATGCATACTATACTGCTCTAGGTATCTTCTGAATGGAACATGTAATTTAAAATTCCTATAGGAGAAAGCTATCATATGTCATACAATTCAGTGAATGCATGTTCGTTAACAAGTTATTTAATTTTTGCTTTATAAAGTATATTGAGAGTTCGGCTTCAGTGATTATTAACATTTAATAACGACTTTGAACAAGTGCATCTGATTTTAATGATATTGATATCACCCATTTTAATTTTTACAGAAACATTACAGCCCCCTCCGTCTTCTCACAATTCAACAGTAAATAAATCGGATGATGAGAGTCAGCTATCTCTGAAGAACTTGAGTGCACTCGAGACAGATGACAGTTTGAATGGAGACCAGGATGTAACAAGTCGGACCAATTCCTCCCCAGAAACAAGTGATCATGACATCACTACCGGAGAACTGTCACATGATGACTCCACAGAGAATATAGAGACCCGCGAGAGACGAGATTCGGGTGTCGGGTCTTCACTCACTCGAGCTCCAAGGTACACATATTAATGAATCATACACAACAATTTGTTTACAATGTTACTGGTGAAAAGAATTTGTTAAATCCCTTGATATATCTTTAAGAGGAGAAAATCAGTTAATAAATAAATCATGAACATAATGATTTGTAATCTGCTGATTATGAAAAAAAGGAAATACATGTAAATCAAAATATTAAAGAAGGATTTCTTTTATTATTATTTTACAACCTTTTTGATACTTTGTTTCACCTCCTATTTGAGGAATACTTTATTAGGGTATGTTCTGTATACAAGTTTTATTTTCTTTATAGTGACAGAAGAAGACAGAGAATTCGCTGGCATAGTTTCCAGAAATCACACAGACCAAGTGTGAGCGGCAGAAATACTCACATCAGCAGTCTGTCCGTGTGTCAACTCATGGTGCTACAAAAACTCTCCTTGTGTCGTTTGACAGGCCTCATAGAAAAATACTCACCCAATCGCTCAGGATGGAACTGGAGCATGCCCGGCTTCATGAAACGCCACAAGACCCCTAACTACAATGACCGTAATGTGTTTGGTGTCCCTCTCCTTGTGACCCTACAGAGGACGGGCCAGCCCCTCCCCCAGTGTATGCTTAGTGCTATGCGGTATCTCAGGAAAACAGCCAAGGAAGCTGTGGGAATCTTCCGGAAATCTGGTGTCAGGACCAGAATTCAGAAACTGAAGAATGAAGTGGAAGCTAATCCAGGTTGGTGTAGTAATTACATTGTAAAGATAAGTCGCAGTTTACTGTCAAGTTTAACTTTAATGGTGATAAACAAGTGTATGAAACTAGTTATTAAGAGGTATTTAAAATGCAAATGGAACAACTTTAATGGTTTCCATTTTTATACCATTGAACATGAAAATTGTCACTCAAAGAGAGATAACTCTTGAATAAAATATGACTCTCTCTTGCAGATTCAGTGAACTTCCAAGAACTTCAGGCCTACGATGTGGCAGACTTGCTCAAGCAATACTTTCGTGAATTACCAGAGTGCTTGTTAACCAATAAGCTCTCAGAAGTCTTCATCAATATCTTCATCTGTAAGTTCTTTAATCAAGTTTCTTTTTCCAAAAGACAAAAATTAGCAAGGAAAACTAAAATCAGAGAAATGATTAATTGCAGTGCCAGGTATTGAATATATCAATGAATGATTTGGTATTTATCTTTATATATTGTTCTGTTGTAGATTTGCCGAGTGAGCAGCGTCTAGAAGCCCTACAGTCGGCTGTCATCCTCCTTCCTGATGAGAACCGAGAAGTTCTTCAGTCCCTTCTTTTCTTCCTGTACGACATTTCGATGCAGGCTGAGGAACATCAGATGACAGCCAGTAATCTCGCCGTGTGCTTCGCTCCCTCTCTGTTCAACATGAGCGGGACAAAGAGCGCCACTCAGAGTCCGAGTCCACGCAGACCCAGGAAGAATCTCGGGGTACCGGACGCTCGAGAGCTTCAGGAACAGAAGGCGGCCCACGAGTGTCTGACAACTCTGATCCAGGAGTGCAAAAAACTCTTCAATGTAAGTGGGCTAACAATTCCTGAAATTTGCAGTTTGAGATTCTTCAGAATATTTACTTGAAAATTTCTGAGATATTTGCAATATTTTCAATGACTTTTGAAAAATTTCAGATTCCAACAGCAATGATGAGCAAGTGCCGATTCTCCTACATTGAGCAAGGAGATCCGGTTTCCTTGGAGGAGTTCAACAGGCGCAGTTCTCAGGACGATCAGCTGGAGTATCAGGCTTACGTGGACACAGCCATCCAGGGGCTTCTGAAGGAATCCAGGGACAAGTTTAAGGGCTGGGTGTCGGTCAATTCTGTCCCAACAGACGTGGACTTGTCCTACAAAAAGGTGACCGATGGTCATCCACTCAGACTGTGGAGATGTTCAGCTGAAGTGGAGGCTCCACCATACGTGGCACTGGACTGCGTCAAGGACGAGAGGTGAGTTGTCTATACTTCTAGATAAATTATTAAGTTTCAGTAAAAAATCTGTTGATACCCTTGTTGAATTAAATTAAAGCAAGTTTTCTGAATCGGAAGTAAAGATGATAACATTGAAGTTGGAATGATTCATTTAGTTTTGATATTATGATGGGGCACCTTAAACAAATTTCTAGATTTCATTGAATGATTTTTTTCCTTATAGACATACTTGGGATGAGGACCTCATTAAATGGAGATCTATAGAGAGGCTGGATTCCCAGACAGAGGTCTTCCAGTATACCCAGAGTTCAATGGCACCACATCCTGCCAGGGATTTCTGTGTCCTCAGGTAGATATCACTTTGGAGTCTTAACAAGAAATTCGCATCTTAAAAACTTCTGATGTTAATATTAGAAAAAAATTAACATTGAAAAGAGTTTGTATCAATAATAATGATTTATCAATTTAACTTTTTAAAATGGATGATGATTTTTCAGAAATTTTAAATTTTCATAATTTTTTTCTCTACAGGTCCTGGAGATCAGATCTCCCCAAGGGATCATGTGCCCTGGTTTCCACATCCATTGATCACCCTCAGGCTGAGCTGAACGGGGCCATACAGGGGGTGGTTTTAGCGTCTCACTACTTGATAGAGCCCTGTGGGTCAGGGAAATCACGAGTCACCCTCATAAGCCGCATAGACATGAGGTACGGTTTTTCCAAAAGTCCATGGTTTTAATAGTTGATACCTTGTTTTATAAAGTTTGTGCTCATATTTTTGAATTCTTATAAAAATATTTCAGAAATTGATCTTTTGCCTTTTGTTTTGTAGGGGAAGAACACCAGAGTGGTATAAGAAGGTGTACAGTTACAGCTGTGTGAATCAGATGGAGAGAATCCGGGACTCCCTGAAACAGAGTACAGAGGGACCCGAGTCCACAGTGTGAAGTCTAGCTTCTGATTCTGATGAAAAATCTCCTAGTAACAGGGGCCTGTCCCTACACCAGAAAGGTGTCTCAACGTGGCACCAAACTGCTGAAGTCCATGGAGGGTGAAGCATGGAGTCATTGACAGAGAATCTACTTCTGTTACACGATACACAAAACCATAGACACTGACGTCAGTGCTGGACAAAACCCTAATCCAATAGAGAACAATAGATAGTCTGTGACAGATGTGGGCGCTATCCACATGACAATCTAGTGCTGTAATATAGAACATTCCGTATAGATGATAGAGGAGGGCAACATGTGTTCATTTTATTAGCATTACTGTTGAATTTTGTAGAAGGGGACCTAGGTTCACTAATGAGTAGCATTTAAAACAAACAGAATGGTGGGCAGTCCCCACTGTTGCCATAGGGAAGGCAGCATTATGTCTGTTGGTAACCATAGGAACCATGCTAGTCATGTGACCTGATATTATTCCTTGGGAGTAGAGAACCTGCAATATTACTAAATGCATTTACTTGTTGTATTGTGCCATGTCTTGTGTATATTCTGTTGTAAATATTGTCCAACCTTTTAAATGTACAATGTACAAAAGTCATTGAGATACGAGTTTAGTAATACATACATGTTATAAGTTATGATAGATATCAGTTACTGGCATTGAGTGAGTTTTGAATGTAAGAATGGCTGAATTTTACTTGAAAGTGTATGTGAGCAAGGTACATTCTGTAAGAGAGAGACTTTTAATGTATATGCTGATGTTCTCTTTGGCCAGACTCTGTCGTAATAATCAAACCAATGCATACCTCATTTTAGCCGGTCAAGCGGTTAAGTTATTTATCCTGTACACTAATGCTCCCCTGAAGTCTGGTCAGACTGACCAGTATATATGTAGAAGTCTGGTCAAATTGACCAGTATTTATGTGTGTTACAAATACAGTGGTTGTGATGCATTTGGTCAAGATAGTTATAAAATATTCATCATTGATATTCCTAAATTAAACAACAGTACAATCATTAAGGAAAACACATTACATATATCTAATAAACTACAGAAATCCACAGTACCTGTAACATTGTATAAAGGTGTAGTCATTCAGTAGCTATTATCAAGTGTATTTTAAACACCATACCTTGTTTATTTTGGACAAGTTAACATCAGTCACAGATTTTACTTTCACTTTTTTACATCAGGAGATGGTAAAGTCACACAACAGTGTACAGCGTCATTAATGATATTGTCATCTCTGTTACCTCAGACCATATATATCATAATTCCATTGTATGTGTATCTTGTTATGATATTTGTTATTATAATGAAATCATAAAATATTTAAATAAAATATAAAATTTAAAATATATAAGATTTGTCTTTCTTGCAAGAGACGTAGAGATTTAATGTAGAAGAAAAAGTTGAATGTCTGTTACAATCAGTTATCTCTCTTACCAGAGAGTCACGTATTGGCTTTTCTGAATAGATGTCAAAGTCATATGCAACGTACATGTACACCTATGATATCTTATAATGTTCAATTCCCACTGATAAGTGTTTTAGATATTCTTGATTTACAATCATAGTACACTCAGATGCTTAGTCAAAAACCAGTATCTTTTCCAGGATTTTTAAAAAATATGAAAAAATCCTTGTGTTATTCAAAGAAAAAATTAACAAAATTAGTTTTAGCTCAGAGTATGTCTCTCTGGTTTTAGCTGGTATTTCTTTAAAAATTGATTGAGAAGAGGTGGGCACTATATCATTTAAGATTTTTAAAGTCGCAATATAGTTCTTCGATAACTATCATAACTATTAGGATATATAGAGAACAAGTAAATAAAAAAGCTTAATACTACGTTGCGTACATTTATCGCCTCTTGAATGGCTCTGCAGTTTTGAAAAATCATAAATGATAATGTGCAAACCAAATAATAACGCATTCAAGAACACTGTTGATCATCGGTATTTGTTCGAGACCATTGCACGATATACTTGAGTTTCAATCGAATTCTAATTCTGTTTTTAAAATATGTACAATTGTACATGTACTTGTCCCGTCGTGAGGGGAGGGTGGGAGTATGTTTTGTAACATTGCTGAAAGAATATATAATTTTAAGAATATAAACAGAATCTCTTGTTATGATAATACACCTGTTATAAATATGTAGTTTGCAATATAAGAGATTAATGTATGGCTGGACCGGAAATCGAACGGCACCCCTGCATCCCTGGTCAGGTGCTCTTTCGAGTGAGCAACTCAGGCCAATATCCACGCCCCAAACCATCACATTCCTCCCTCCTTATTTTGTTTTCACCTTAAGTTCCTAACAGGACTTTCACCTGCAAGTCCACGCGTGGTCAACGACATCAAATCTGTGAGAAAATGTATGACTGACCCTACTCATGCATGCTAGAGCTAGGTTCACAGCGAGATACTTTTGACTTGGCGCCGCTTATCCGAGGTATATAAGGAGCGAAGGGATGTTAACTGAGGCTCTTACTTATAGGAGAAGGCTGGTCCGGGAATCGAACCTGGAACCCCTGCATCACTAGTCAGGTGCTCTACCGATTATACTATCCAGGCCGATATCCACGGTCCAAACCATTACATATGAACTTGAGAAAATAAAGGGTTTCTGTCTCAAAGCACATCCCTATCGTAACCCCTGCCCTTAAATAAAATGAAATAACCAAAGTGCTGCCATTCCTGTTGCATGACATTAAATAATAAGTGTTCAAAGTTAATTACATAATGCATTCGTTGTCTAGGTAAAGCAATCCTCTTTTTAAATATTACACCCTATTTGTATTTGTAATTTATCCATCTCTGTTGATGTTTTCTTCTGGAAAAAAGATTGATTTGAAATTAATCGGTGAATCAATAATCTATAAAAATAGATTTTGTTGACGTCAAATCTTTTGTCAGTCAGACCGCAAAGTGCTTCCTAGACATTAAATTCTTAATCAAACCTCTGAATAGAGACGGAGGTAAATCCGAAAAAATGAAGTCATCCTGGAAGTGCAGTTATATGCAACGATGACTTCACCCATGACAAAACACTTTTAATGTAAATAAATCCCCAGAGAGAAAAGGTTAAATTGACTGACTTATGACAGTAGTTCCTGATTTTTATATGTTTACGTAAGTTAATGCAAAGTAAATGAAAGAAAATGTCAGTTCTGTATTTATAAATTAAAAAATACTGTTAACAAAATAACAAAATATGCGTTTCAATGAATAAAATAAATTCATAACGAAACATTGAAATGTCAAAATAAAATAATTACAAAAATGCAAAGGTTGACGGTCATCATGTAAAATCAACAGTCACAAAAAATGATAATTTAAAATAAAATACATACAATACAGGATACATGTATAATGTGCAAACGCATCCTTCATGATTTTCTTTATAAACTTGATATATATTATGCATCGGAAGCATTTGCTTTATTTTTAACAGCTGACATATCAATGATACATATAATTTTTAAAGCATCCTCATAACTGGGTAAATCCTGGTCGCGTGATTTATCTGCTGCAACCACAGATTCATATGACGGGGGAGCATAGTTAACGTCGTAAAATCCACGATTAATTTCACCTATCGTTGCTATGGTGATAGCGTTAGTTTCCCTGGTATCACATACACACACCCTTTCTTTGACCCACGCACACTGGCAAAGTGACCTGAGGCACCTGGTCAATATTTCAAATGCTTCTTTTAATGGCGCTGGTCCATGATTTTTCAGGCAAAATACTACACAACAGAGAATCATCAGAAAGGCGAATGTCAAGAAAAATAAAGCAGTGGCATCCATTGCAGTTAAGATCCTCGGGTAAAGTCCCAGTCACAAAGATATATGTTGAAATAACTCACCTATAAAGAAATAAATAAAATACATTATAGTATTGAAACAAAAAAAAATGAAATAATATATTTTACTCTAAATATTTCAAAAATAAAATATTTATTTCAAAAAATTTGATTGAATATCTTATTATTTAGTATAACAATTTTGTTTTATACATGTACAATAGGTTTTCGTATAATAAACCAATTCTTATATTACACTAAATTAATCTTTGATGATAATCTTTCTATAATAAATAAATAAAACTACCTCCTCTTGTACTCCTTCCTGTTGTAGAGAATCATAACTTGTTCTATATTCTCACTGGAAAAACAGTCTAGTATATTATCTACAACCTGATTCTTCGTTCTTTACTATTTATGACAGTCTACGCTTCATGGGAAATCCTTATGACTAAATTTAAACACCTGCCCACTTCATAACAAAATGCAATTCAAATGACGTCACTGTTAAAGGTGTAAATATTTAAAAGATAAGCAACATATTTTTGTTCGGCACGTTGTTCATTGTTGACTTATTATTAAACAAAAATCAAGCCATGAAGTCAATGATTCGTTTCAATTAATTGCTTTTTGAAGAACACATAACAATTAATCATATTGAAATACCTTTTATGTTAACGAACCTTTTGACAGATGAAAAAACCTTGAATTATTGAGAATCCAGTTATTTCCAGTTAAATGTTGCTAGAATTTAGCCAAGCTATAACATTTCAAACAAAGGTGATAAAAATTTACACAGAGTATAAATCTATTCCATTTTTGGTATATTACTGCGTTTGCTTGTTTGCTCTGTTCAAAATTTTTAAAGAATCTCTCTTGGAACCTATACAGACCTTTACTCCTTTACTGAGATATGTGTATATATGTCGATTTATAAACACAATATTGAAAGAATACCAAAGCACTATCTGTTAGAAACCAGAAAAGAATTCTACTGGTCCCAACTGACAAAGCGGGTAGCAGTCTACACTGTCTTGTTCGTAAGGCTCCTTATTATTTCTAAGGAATTCTTCAAAATCATATGCCAGTTTTGAATATTTTTGATATCCCTGAGAACCTAAATGAATTTGAATTACCATATCTATTTTGGATTCCGAAACTTCATAAAAATTTACAAAGATACATCGCGGATTCCAGTAAATGTTCAAATAAGACTCTTTCTTTTCTTCTCACTAAGATATTATCAGTAGTGTAGGAGAAACTTCAAGATTACTGTGCAGCAATATATTCGAGAAGTTCATGGTGTAAATCCGTAGTGGATACTTAAAAATTCCAAGGAACTTTCGGACAACTTTGAAATCTACAAGATTTTACCAAAATCAACAGCTTAAAAACGTACGACTTTTCAACTTTATACACAACTATTCCCAGTGAAAAATTAAAATCCATGCTTTTGATATCATTGACAGTTGCATTTTCAATAAAAATGGAACTCGAAAATTTATTTACCTTGCCATTGGTCATTTGCAGAATTATTTTGTTAAAAACATTTTTATTGTAAAAACAAGTACTCTGAAGTTGACATCAAAAGATGTTTGAGTTTCTGATTGACAATATCTATATTATTTTTGAAGACCATGTCATCCAGCAATCTATTGGAATTCCCATGGGTACCAATTGCACCCTTTTATTGGCAGACCTATTTTTGTATTCATATGGCACCTGATCCCACCTCTGATGTTTAAGAGGTTCCTGTGTGCTGATTTGTATTGTTTGACTTATGAGATTGAATACTGTTCGATATCTTCATATATCACTTTACTGGTTAACTTTCTAAAAATAAAAGAATGCTAAAATAAAAAAAAATAATTTCATCTTGTCCAATATGGTATGGATGTAGTGATTGATGATGTAAGATATTTGTTTTCTCAAATTTGAATTTATAATTTTTGTGTGTGAATTTCATAAAAAAGTGAAATCATAGATCAACGCCACAGAGCTGCCGTATTTGCTAATAAAATAAGGGTTTTGATTTGACAAATCAATTTATTATCCTATTATCCGTAATAAAGCAATGGGAGAAAAAGTATTCAAACTCAAAAGTCCATTCCAACAATACAAATCAGGAACAGAGGGAATTTGGACCCCTAAGATAAGTGGAATCAAATGCCATGTAGGAGTAAGCATCCCCTGCCGACCGGTCAAATCCGCCATGCTTTCTTTGACATGATCGGGAAATAATGGAAAAATCTGTCAACAATTCAATGAGTGAATAACAGCCCAACAACTAATATGATAAAAATCAGTCGAACTTTGACCTTAGTTAGATTATATTGGCTATCAAATTCATGGCATAGACCATACAACGAAATGATGACTTGAAACGAGACAACTGATGTACCTTTGTTTCATCAACTTGTTTGTCAACAACAATCTTCGTTTTAGAAATTGTTCATATGTTCTTTGTTTATACGAATCAACTTAGAGATATAAATCTTGTATG